GATTTTAGCTGATACAAGGATTCCCTTTTAAATAATCAGATTTATTAGAAAATGTTATTTGAGAGCCCTCAACTACAGAAATACCAATGAAAGAAAGTTTGGGGCTTTTTCCTGGGTTCAGTACAGGGAAACTATAATATACTAACTGTAGACATCTTCAAGAAGGCTAAACTGTATTCTCTTAAATTCATTTTTATATTTCCTTCAAGCATCTCTGTATTATATAAACAATATGTTCTGATGCCTGGTGTGTACTAGACTTGTTGAGGAGCATCACTTAGTAAGTTATGTAAATGTTTAACCACTATGCTGTACATCTGAAACTAATTAAATCAGTAATATATTGCTATACAATTAAGAAATATAATTTAAAAATTAAATTTTAAAATATTTAATACCAAAAAAATTTAAAAACCAATATTTCATCAATTATAAATTAGACCACAAAGATAAGCAAAAAAAGAAAAAAAGAAATTAAAATGACCAATAATATCATCACCATTTAGAAATCACTATAAACATTTTGGTGTATATCTTCCCTGGTGTTTGGTTTGTGTGTGGCCATATTTATGCTTATGTACACATGTAACACAATTGAGGTTATATACTAAATTCTTCAGTATATATATTTTTCTACTTATTATGTCTTGTAAATAAATTATTTCTTCATCATTTTTTGGTATTTATCTTCCACCTTGAAAATAGTGTTTATTTCCTGATTAAAAGTATTATTTATGATAGGGCATTTAAAAAAATAGAGAACCTTGAAAATAAAATAAAAATTACCTCTTATCCTAACACTCAGAGGACCATTAATTTTATTGGATATTTTAATGTCTTTTCTTCTATAAATAATTTTTTCTTAAAAAATGTGTATTGATGTTTCTCACTAACATACTTTTCACAAACAGTACATTTTAAATATTCCCACATGTCATTAAATTTTCTGCAAAAATGTGATTTTCAATAATTTCAAATTATCCTACCATATGTGTAAAACCATAATGCTCTCAAATAATCCCTACAATTGGACATGCAAGTTGCCTCTTATTATTCCTCACCATAAACAACACTGTATTCGACACCTATAATATTATTTATAATGGCCATGTGGTATTCCATTGTGTAGTTATGTCATCTTTTATTAAACAAATCCTTTATTTTTTTAATATCTCAGTTCTCATTATTTTGCTTAAATAGCAATCCTGTAATTGTTAGAGCAAATCTTTACCCTTAGCCTTAATTTTTGACATATTTAGTGAGTAGTTGTTTCAAGTTCATCAGTTAACATTTTGTTTGATGCTCTGGAGGAATATAGAAGAAGCAAGAGACATGGCCCCAATCCTTCAAGAGTTAGCATTTAGTTGCAAATGTACCTAGTACCTGCAAAACAGTAACGAATAAATTATTCTAGTGTTCTGTTAAATGCTGAGCTATGTGGTTCGATGTGTAGTTTGTGGGTAAATAGGAGAATGGTGAGGCTCTGTATAGTAGGGGAGGACTTCAGGGATGAAATGCAGTGTGATCTGAGATTTGAAGAGTGAGGTGAGTATATTTGATATATATTCGCAGCACTGTGAGAAGGCTATTTAAGTTGACTATTCTTTTAATACCACCTCTGAGCAATCAGTTTTACATAACTTCTGAAAAATTGGAGCAATATTATTTTAATGTGTTTTTCCAGTTTTATTGATATAATTATAATTGACCAGTAACATTGTATTAGTTTAAGATGTACAACATAATGATTTAACTATGTGTATATTGTGAAGTTATTCTCACAATAAGTTAACATCCATCACCTCACATGTTTTTTAACTGAGGTATAATCGACACACAATGTTGTACTAGTTTCAGGTGTACAGCATAATGATTCAGTATTTGTATATCTTGTGAAGTGATCATCACAATAAGTCTATTTAACATCTGTCACAATATGTACATTTCGTTTTTAATATTTACTTTTTTATCCCTTCAGACACAAAAACATCTTAATTAAATATTCTTAATTTGTGAAATTTGCTTATTTTTTCTAGAAACTCTGCCTAATGACTTTTTTCTGATATTATTGGGTTCTTTTTCAGTGATCTACATATAATTTTTGTACTGTGTTTAATTGATTTCTAGTGAAATGCTCTTTAGATAATCTGAATCAACATAATTTTCTTTATTTCTTAAATTAGGACTGATATTCTTTTAAATAATATTTTGAATAAATTTTTTACTATTAGGTTTGGTGAGGACACTGAGGTTAAGGTTTGAAAGAAAACAAACTTATGATAAATTTCCTTTGGATGAACTAATGCTTACTCAGTGCCCCATAAGCTCTGCTTTCTGTGATTTTCATGTGTTCAGTCATGTTATATAGTGGTTGTTTTAACAATAAAGGTCAAAAGAGAGGTAATCTCTTTTATGTTATTTTAAAAAATTACAACTAAACAGACTTCTTAAAATTATTCATAATTATGTCTGCATTATAACATTAAGGCAAAGCACATTTATTTCATTGCCTTCTTAGGGACTGATGTTTCTTAAAGTGGGGTGCATCAGAATTAAAGGACCTGTGATCAGAATCACTTGGGATGTTCATCAAAATTTATATTCCTGAGTCCTCCTCCTCAGGGTATGGGAGGAGATGAGGGAATCTGCATTTTAACATACTTGCCAGGGAATTCTATATCTTGAAGTTTGAGAATCACTGCTTGAGGGAAATATTGTCTCAGATCTCTCCACAGTTGTGCTGCAGTGACATGCATTAAGACTCGGATATTATCATTGGGAATCTGGCCTCAATTGATATTTCATAGGATCTATTTTGTTTTTGGAAATTACAGAATAAGTTGAGCTTTTTTTCTTAAGAAAACTTATTTAAAAATCATTTAGTCCTCTAGAAAAAAAAGATTAGAGATTCTTTGTCAAGTTTTTCTATTTTGGCATTTTTGCCTTTTATCCAACAATAATTTCTTCATCATAAGTGTTTGGATTTATGTGCCCCTTTACTCAGATAAATTGCTTATAGGCCTCCGCTCATGAAAGGCCAATATTTCTTAGTTTTAGAAAGTTAGAAAGTGAGGACCAGATATAGTAAATTTTGCCTTTTTTCATTGTCCCTAAGAATGATATAAGATTACTTACACGACTTAAGCCATTTATGATTTCATTCATGCCTATCTTGATGCCCTGGAGACATATCACAAATAGTTCTTACGGATTTCCTGGAGAAATCCTGACTTTTCAGCTTCTTGCTCCCTGCTTCTTGGTAGTGTTGAGCCACTTTGCGCAGATTATGGGACTGACAGTGTGGGTCATCGATGTGGGAACTCATGGTTATTGTCTGTGGTACAGGATGGCAGTGACCACATTCCCATGAGTAAAAAAAAACACACAAAACATAGTTGATCTAACAAGTAAGTGACATGAGTAAGTAAGACTGAAATTAGTCATGAGAGAAAAAAGTGGTACTGTATAGAGCCTAAATGCTTTAAGGACAGGTTTTTTAACTGAGGTATATGGTTTTTTTAGTATATTCACAGACTTCACAATATTCAATTTAGTTAAAGACTCACAACATTTTTTACTAAAAATATTTTTAGGTCCAGAGAGGGGGAAATCCTCCTTGGTTCCATTCCTAGGTCTGCTCCTTTCATCAGAATAATGGTACCTACCATTTTTGAAACACCACTGCCTATGAGCTCAGCATTGTGTCTAGTTACTGTATTAATGTTATCTCATTATATGCTCCCAATAACCCTGAAAATAATTTTTATTCCTACTTTCTGTATAATGACAATAATATCTACATACCTAACATTCATTGAGCACAATTATTATCTCATTTAATATATGTGAAAACTTACTTCTTTAGATTCCTTTTCCTTTTTCCCTCTTTCCCACTAATTATTAATCTGTAACTTTTACCTCCTGCTTCTTCCTGTAGTTCTTGCAGCTTGCCAGGCTTCTTTGTGAACAGGGAGAGAAATATAGGAGCAGTTCAGATTTTCAAGCTTCTGATGAGAACCACAAAGGCTAGATGCTTTATTTGTTTCACTTTTTTTTTTTTTTTTTTTTAAGGGATTGAGAAACTACCCAGGCACAGGCAGTTAAGGTGAACGCATGACTACTGATGGGCTATGGCCAAATAGTAGTTCCCTCAGCCCTCGGTTCTGATGTAGAGGGATAGGAAAACATTTTCTCTCTAAACTTTTAGGTGTCTGTTATTTCCAATCTAAGATTTGTTTTTCCTCCTCACAGCCAACTTCTCTGTACTGTGAAGTACTTCTTGTGCAAATGTTTCTGTAACAAACTTGTTCTTTTGTAAACAAACAAACATAAACACAAACCATTTTTAAATGCCACATGAAAAATGTGTGTGACTGTGCTGAAGTGTCAAAGTTAAGGGTAAGGAATGGAAAGAGGTTTCTGTAACTTTTGACAGGTGTACAGCTGGAGAAAAGTGACTCTCCCCAAGCCCCAGCACACAAAAATATTTAGGTTAGTTATGTTTCGGGCACTGACTTAGATATTTTATATGTTTTCTGGTGAACAGTTAACAGTGGTGATTGAAGCTAATTTCTCTATTGATTCTCAATTCAAGGATGATAATGTCTTTGTGATGTATATTTTTAGGCTGTGCAAATAAACCTGCCAATTTAAAGAAAAACTTTACCAATCCTAATAATTAATAACTGAATTTGAACTATTTTAAATGAAGGGCATAAATGAGTAAGAAGTTGAAGTGTCCATTTTGAAATTGTTAATGAACCACTTAGGCTGCTTTTAATTAAAAAAAAAACGAAACAAAACTGTTTGAATCTGTAATTTCAGGATAGTTCCTTTAATAATTGCTTCTGTAATGGTTAGTATTTTTTAAAGTAGAGATAGTTAATATATTTTGTTTGTCCATCTAAACATCATATATTGTCATTCTGCATTTGGGATTTTCCCCCAGTGATGCAAAGAAACAAGTATTCTAATGGTTTTATTTTATTTTGTTTTTCTAGGAGTCAGAGAATAATAAGTTATGTTCCCTATATTCCTTCCGAAATACCTCTACCTCACCACATAAGCCTGACGAAGGGAGTCGGGATCGGGAGATAATGACCAGTGTTACTTTTGGAACCCCAGAACGCCGCAAAGGGAGCCTTGCCGATGTGGTGGACACACTGAAACAGAAGAAGCTTGAGGAAATGACTCGTACTGAACAAGAGGGTATGTGTGGACTTAACTGTCAGGCTTTATTCTTTTAAAGATTCCAGGCCTTAAAAAAAAAAAGTGGGATTTCAAGGGCCAGAGAAGTGCATAATTGGCACTAGCTGGGAAAAAGTTATTCAGAGGTTACCATGGTGATGGCAGATTGTGATCCATTAGGAGTGTTAAGCAGATAGCTCCATTTTTGTAAAACTTTGTGCATTTTTTTGGTTCTTACGATAACAGATGAAGGTTTTAAACTGACTGTAAGCCTTGCCCTGATAAAAAGGTAGTATAGGAATTTTTTCAGCTGCAATTTTATTTTTATTTTTTTCTGTCTTACTTCCTTTTGCTGGATAGTGTTTTATTATGGAAATGGCAGATACTTAAGAAGCAAAAAGAAAACCCCAATTTATTTCTCCTTATTTTTATAAATATTATAAATATCATTTTACCTCCAAATGTTGTAGAATTGAGGGTTTTTAATACTTTTCAAGCTAAATGCTCAAGGGGGAAGGGCTTTGACTTGTGACATCCACTCTAATATCCCACATCACCTTCTCTACTCTCTTTACAAGAATCCACTTAGGTTCAAATATGTTCTAAAAAACAGGCGAAAGACTCTTTAATAATATTTTTCAATTAAATAAATCAAGTCTAAGTGATTGCTATAATATGCATGTTCTTTCATTTTTTATTTACGGATTTTAGACTAAAATGTAGGGTAATTAATGGTTCTGGATTTATTACTAACATTGTAAGTTAAACCTCTGTGGCACTATAGGGAGATGGGGATTTGATATAAGGGAATTTTTCATGTAACTTAATATTATTCCTTCAAGGGCTCAAAAGTTTAAAAACTTTCAAATTAATTTTTGGGGAAGTTTCAAATAATTTTTTGGATGTGTTCAGCATATCAGTAATTTTTGTGGAAATTTCTAAAATGTATTACATGCTTTCCTGTCTTACTAAAACCACATTATATAGCATAAAATATAAATATTAGTTGATGAAGTGGGGTGATGATGTGGTAGCTTATGAACTCCAATACCTATCTAACAATTAATGTGATCTTAGGTAACTTCTACGAAGTCCCTGAACAATAAAATTTAAAATTTGATTTGGTACCAATACCTGACTTGGTAACTCAAATATTTTGATAATTAACTATAATAATGAATATAAAAGTCCCTTATGAACAGCAAAATATATAAATCTGAGGTATTATGATGATTATTTTATTATAAATGTCAGTTTTTTTTATCATGCTGTAGCCCCCAGGGATCATTGGAGTAATTAGTACTGTTTGTCTTTATGGTTATTTCTTTGCAAATATAAAACTTTGGAGTTCTTGTGTTTACTTGATATAGACATATTTTCAGCGTGTGTGTGTGTGTGTTGGTTTCTCCTCTTTAGGTTACAGGCTGCTACATCTTGCTTAGTTGTGGATAATTTCTAATTTTCTGCTGTTGATTTATAAGTTATGAAATTAGATGATCATGACATACTGGATTATATTTAAATATTAACAAATATGTCTCAGTGAATTACTGAGAAATTCTAGGTAATATGGAGGAGCTTTAGTGCATGGACATCATGCTGACTCTTCTGACTGCTCAGACGTTATTTTCCACATTTCTGGCTATATTCTAGAATAACTGAGGCTGCCAGATCAGTAATCTCTGAATAGGTGAGATTGCTAGGTTACTTTTGTGATTCACCAGAAAAAAATGGTTTTAGTTTGTAAGAAGTGGGTTTTAAAATACATTAGAGGACTCTTTAGTATAAAAATAAAAAAATGGATTTGTGAATTTTTTTTTGGCCCGGATTGCTAGGGGATTTTAAATCATTTTTCCCTTGCAAGTAATTGTTAGTTTTATATTTTTCCTCTTTTTTACTGTGTTATAGATTTGATGGAAGAGAGATACTTAGGAGATGAGACCTCCAATTTAAGAGTCCTTTATCACCATATTCCTACTATTGAAGAATGTGTTTTATGTACTTTATAGAACTTTAATTATTTTCTATGGTACATATGTCTTCAACATCAGAATTCAGGCACTTTTAGCATATGTTAATGTATATAATATAGTAAGTACAAATATTAAAAAGTGATAAACCTGCTTATCAAGCTCACAGATGCCACAAATCTGAGAGAAACAGTGAATACGATGTATAAAAGACACAAAAGGCTTTGACAAACTGGAAATATGGACTTAAAACTAACCATCAAGATAAAATTTAATAGATTGTATTATTAAGTCCAGAGGTTATGACCAAAACTCCCAGCTGCACAAGTAATTACTGAAAGAAATTCAAATAGCAGACACATGAATAAGAAAAAAAGCTTATGAGTTTAAGGAGACAGAAAGTGCAATGGAGTTAGCATGGTGAATATTGCTAAAAAATTGCCAGTGCTATCTCAGTCAGCATTACTAGAATTAAAGTGTGCAGCAAAAAGATGGTAGTCCCATTGAACTCCCTGTTCAGTAGAATGCACCTGAAGTATTGTGTTGAGTTGAGAATTATCACATTTTAAGAGGGACTCAAAAGTATTCTCAGAGGATAATTGACATGATAACAGATGCAAAATTATATAATGAGAGGAGTGGGTGAAGAAACTAGTAATATTAACCCCAGAGGAAAGAAGATCAAGGATGACAGGACGGTTGTCTATAAAGATTAAAGTCATATGGAGGAGGGATTGAATTATTCTATCTAGCTCCCTGGGGATAGAATGCAGATCAGTGATAAGAAGTTATAAGGAACGAGATTATTGTTTATAATAAGACCAACAGTTGTAGCTATCCATGTATGAGATAATCTTCTTTGGAAGATTAATTGTCCTTGGAGGTATGCAGCAATCGTAATTGCATTTTAACAGGGGGGTATGAAACTTGAAATTAATTACATGAAGAAAACTGGTAAATTCACAAATATGTGGAGATTAAACAAGATGCTGTTGAACAACCAATGGGTCAAAGAAGAAATAAAAAGAGAAATAAAAATATACTTGAGACAAACAAAATTGAAATATACATACCAAAATTTGTGGGATGCAACAAAAGCAGTCCTAAAAGGGAAGTTCATAGTGATAAATGCCTATTTCAAGAAACAAGAAAAGTCGCAAATAAACAACCTAACTTTTCACCTCAAGAAACTAGAAAATGAAGGAAAAAAGAAGCCCAGAATTAGTAGAAGGGAGGAAATACTAAAGATACAGCAGTAATAAATGAAACAGACTAAAAGACCATAGAGAAGAACAGTGAAACTAAGAGCTGGTTCTTTAAAAGGTTAAACAGCATTGACAGGCCTTTAGCTAGAATTAAGGAAAAAAAGAGAGAGCCTGGCTGGTGTGCCCAGTGGTTGAGTGTTAACCCATGAACCAGGAGATCTCAGTTCGATTCCCTTTTGGGGCACATGCCTGGGTTGCAGGCTCGATCCCCAGTAAGGGCCATGCAGGAGGCAGCCGATCAATGACTCTCTCATCATTCATGTTCCTCTCTCTCCCTCTCCCTTCCTCTCTCTGAAATCAATAAAAACATAAAAAATAAAAGAAGGGAGAATGCAAATAAAAAAATCAGAATGAAAGAGGAGATGTTACAATTGATACCGAAGAAATATAAAAGAGCATAGGAGACTATTATGAACAATTACATGCCAATGAATTTGACAACCTAGAAGAAATGGTGAATTTCCAGAAACATTTCGAAAATTTATATGGAACCAAAAAAGACCCCGAATAGCTGCAGCCGTCTTAAGAAAAAAGAACGGAGTGGGAGGGATCACATTATCAGACTTCAAACTATATTACAAAGCCACTGTAATCAAAACGGCCTGGTATTGGTACAACAACAGGCTTATAGATTGATGGAACAGAACAGAGACCCCAGAAATAGACCCACGCCATTATGGTCAGTAAATATTTGACAAAGGAGGCAAGAGTATCCAATGGAGTAAGGACAGTCTCTTCAATAAGTGGTGCTGGGAAAATTGGACAGATACATGCAAAAGAATGAAACTAGACCACCAACTTTCACCATACACAAAAATAAACTCAAAATGGA